AGTGAGCTTAAAATTGAATTTCATGCGAAATGAGAAGTTTTACCTTTTTTGGCAGTCGAAAAGGATTCCAATACGACGACGGGTGGCGGCGGTCGGCTCCCCGGCGGCTGGGTCGTCTTTTTTGGCGAAGGGGTTTGCTAGCTAGGGTTAGGATTTGATGCGGATGGGGGTTATTTATATTTGTCCACTTTTGATCTGGGTCGTCCATCGCGTTTGATCTGGACCGTCCGATCGCAATTAAATAGGAAGTGAATTTGGGCCGTTCATCGCGATCCAATCTAGGCTATCCATCGCGATCTAATCTAGACCGTCCGATCGCGTTTGAATCTTATCGTTCAATCGCGTTTGGGAGGGAGCGCATCTAGGTCGTCCGTGCGCGCGGGAACGGACCTCAGCCGTTCAATCGTGGGCATATGGATCGCCCACATGGGCTCTCGCGTGGCCTCTCGCGTCAGTGTCTCTGCCACTTGGCGCGTCCTCGTTGGTCAGGACTGCTGACCGAGCGTCTGATATGGTAAAACTTCTCTAAATTGTATTTTGACGTGTTTTTCGGTTTTTCTTTCAAAAATACCTCCAGAACCTAAATTTTCACTCCTTTTCCTCAAAATTGTTTTCAATTTAATCCTCCATCAATTTTATTTTATTTTTACCCCAAATTATAAAATACAATAAAATAAAATAAATTAATAAAAATCATATTTATTAATTATTTAATTAAAACAAAAAAATTTGTGGGTGTTACATAATTGCATCCTAATTATTTAGTATAATACATAAAACACACACTATTTTTCATCTGTATATTTGAATTGTTACTTTTAAAATTGTTTTATCACTTTCTTTCTCTAGGATTCCTTAAAGTGTCATAAACAAAACTTGATTATCTTGATTCAAGGAAATTTAATTTTGACATTCAACTTGAAGGAAAGATGTTGAGTAAAATATAAAAGTAAAACACACGAGAGAGTGTTATTATTGTTACTAACCATTCTTTATAGACTTTCAATGACCTTACATAACGTCACGTCCGATGAGATTTTTTCAAAAAAAGCTGAATTTGTGAAATTCCTATATAAAAAGTGTCTGATTCGAGGACGAATTATTTTTGAAGAGGGAGGGGATGATGTGAGTAAGGAAAGGAAAAAAAAATTCTTTTTAAAGGGAGAAATGGCAGAGGGGTGAATTTTCTTCTTAAACCACATAAGAAATCAAGAAAAAGAGGAAAACAAATCTCATACCTTAATGGGGGATTGAATCTCATGAATCTTTGGGAAATTATGGGAGCAATTAATCTTTTCCAAAATTGATCATAATCTTTCTTAGTTCTTCCATCAGTCATCTTTATAATTAATTAAGATCTTCTCTATTTAAAAAGAAATATCATATCTATCATATTTTAGAAAATAATATTTTTAATTATTGCAAGTTTCTTATTTTATTCTATATTTATTTTCTTATGTAATTTTACAATTAATTTAGGATATTATTTGCCTTATAATAACATGGCCTACACTATAAATAGGTCACTAATTCATAATTATAATCAATCAAGTATGAGAATAATAAAATGATAAAGTTTTAGTTTTCAACTAGTTAGGTTTTCTTCAACCTTCTTCTTAAGTGGGGAATTAATGTCCTTATCAAGGTAACTTGTGGTGTTTTCATCAATCTCTTTCTTGAATTGATTTTAACTTATTAAGATTTTTCTTATGGCGTTCTAATCAATTCATTTATCACTATTATCTTAGTTTTAACTCCCTATTGAGTGCGAGTCAAGTAGGGAGGATTTATTTAGGGTTTGAGTTGCTGGTTGTTGACGTATATGCGGAGTTTTGGATTACACTGTTGATCCTAGGTCTATTATAATAACTTTAGCTTTCGTTTTTTAGAACAATTAGTTTGAGTATAAAAAGTTGTTGAACTAGTGGTGTTAAGGGCTAAGTGTACTCGGGGAGCTCCAGGATCAAACACACCTTGATCATTAACCCACCATACTTAGCATGTAAAATTTAATTTCATAAATCAAACTCTTCCTATTTAAATTGCAATCAACAATTTGAAGGCAACTCAAGATATCTAAGAAAGTAAAAACAATGAATTTAAAAGACATCATGTTTTATCCGATAAGTCGATTCAAAATTTTCGGCTCAACAAGATGGTTGAAGCAACCTCTCTTGAAGAACACTCATTTTTAAAATTAACAAAACTAATTTAGAAGCAATTAAAAATTTTTATTGATCAACTGAATTGAATTGTGAATTAGAACCTAAAGTGGGGCCTTTATATAGACTTTAATTGAATCAACTCTACTAAAAAATAAATACTAAAATTTAATAAAAATTATAATCCAAAATTTAGACTCGTCTAAACCCCAAACCCAATTTAATAATAAAATAATCCTAAGGATAGAGATCAACAATAAAATATTAATTAAAAATTAATATAATATTTACTAGATAAATCTCCTCCTTTTGCCATATTTTCCCATGTGCTTTTAATCTCTCTTTGGAATTCTAATTGCTGTAGAATTCTTCTTAAAAAATTAATCATAAAATCACATGTGAAAAAGGATCAAAGAGAAGAATCCTTCTCGGCATCAAACTTAAATCCCACACACCTCACCTGTGTGGACAAAGATCTCGCATGTGTGTGTGCGTGCGCAGTTGTCTAGCCTGCACAAGCATGTTTTCCCACATGTGGGCAAGGGCCTCCCATATGTGCAACTTGCCTTCTCATACAGGAAAGGATTCCACTAGTGCAGATGTTCCCTCCTGCATACGTGGCTACCCATATACGTGAATAAGGAGTTGTCCGTCACTCCCCAAAGCCGATCAACCTTTGCTTGGATAATTTTTTGGGTCATGGCTTTCCTTGGCTGTGAGGCCTTGATCCTTTCTTGGGTTGGGCCAAAAGCTGGCCTTCTATCTTATCTTGAGATTCGTCAAGCCCATAAAGTGTCTATTGGGCCTTTAACATTCTTTAAACAAACTAGGCCCATTCTTTAGAATAATCCAAATAAGGAAAGTGGTTAGGGATGTAGATATTTTTTTCTTTGAGATGATTCCATTTAGGAAATTAAAGGAATCTAGAATTGCTTGTTAGTTTGGAACGAGACCTACGAGAGTTCTTATGAGAATTTCCTTTTAACACGTGCGTGGGTCTTCGTCTGCGAGCTATGCTCTCGCAAGTAACTATTCCATGCAAATCCTAATATATGCGAGATTCCTCCTAGATGCGGGATTACATCATTAAAACTAAATTTGGGCCATTTGAAATCACATCAAAAGGAGTTATAAAATGGTATCAAAGTACGTGCCAACTTGGTGACTTCGGGTTAGTGCAATCTTGAGCTATGAGTCATTTGAATATTGATTTATGATTCTCTAATATGTAGTCTTGATGAGGACATCAAAAATTTAAATGGTAGAGATAAAGTTGCAGAATACTAATAATTTGACTTGAACTTTTAAGATTAATGTTCAAGTTTGAAAGGTTATTAGACTAGTGGTGTTTGAGCCGAAGACATTACATATTGTCTCTAATTAAAATTCCTAGGCTTTAAAGTAGAGGTGAAAGATCTTTTTATGGATGGTAACTCTTTCTTATCTTATAAACCTCATTTATCGTATTTTTCTATCTCTTAAGGGTTACCAGATATACAATATTCCATTAAAGCAAAAGATAAGGAGAGACAATCATTGATAAAGGATGGAGATTACTTTGTCCAATGTTAGTATTTAAAAGTGTTGGAATCAAAATCAAATGTTTAACAACAGACATATAATTGATGTGTAACAAAAATGGGAAATAATTGGTTGTAAGAAATATCACTATTCAACATTTCATGTGGAGGATGAGTAATAATATAATTCCAAGAAATGTATGCTTAGCTTTTAAGGGAAATTTGATTGTCTGAATATGTCAAAGGTGTAGTAAAGACATTGAGGCCATGGAACATACTTTGCAAGATTGTTTCTTTGCAAAAATTTATTGTTTACTTCTCTACTAATACTATGCTTATGGTTAAGTGATTAATCTAATCTTAATATATTTAATCAAACAATAAAACAAATGGAAGGTCAACATAAAAAGGCTAATGATTTGAAAATAATGATTGCTTAATCATTTAGGTGGACAAGAAAAGAGTTGATGGTTACTTTATACAAGGAATATCTTTTACTTTCTTTTAGTTTACAATTAATTTTTTCTACCTTTAGTCAATCCATCTAATTAGACTTCAACACTAGAGCAAAAAATGAAGATTAATACATATACTTGTCTGGCAAAGAAAGGAGAGTTAAGATTGGGAGTTATTATAGGAAACCACTTGGTAGAGATCATGTTGTTTTCATAACATCAAATGAAGGGTGTATTTCCACCTATTTGGGGAAGTTTTAGCAATTAGTTTTGTTGTGTTTAGCCTTAGATATGTGTTTCAATAATATTAATTTTAAAAGTGATGCAAATACAAGAGTTGATTCAATAAACAACAGTTATCTTGACTTATTTGATATGAATGCAATTATTAATGATGTCAACTTCATAGTTAGGAGACTTTTGAGGATCTTTTAATTTTATTTTAAGATATTATAATTTTAAAATTAAAAATTATACATAATGGTCTTTATTTTTGGATTTAACAAAAATACCAAACTAGTTTAGTCTTTATGTTAGTCAAATTTATCATTCTCTCTCTTTATGAATTTTAATTTATTATTTTTTTATCTAAACTATTTACTGCAAAATTGAAAACATAAAATTGATTTCTCTTTCTCTTTCTAAGGTCTAAAATCAAATCACTCTCCATCGGATCAAAATGGACCAAATTACCATTATTTTAAAATATATTTAATTAAAATATAAAAAATTAAAAAAACTAAAAATAAAATAATTTAATTTGGCCTAATCTTGTGGAGACTTAAAATCAAGTGCAATTTTTCAGTTTTTTAGTGCCTGGGGCCAAAAATTGGACTAAATAGTCCAATCCGGTCCCCTCGTATGCACGCGATGAACACTCTTACCCATTTCTCCATCCAAACATCCCATTATTTTGCTCGTTCCATTACGACATTACCAACCAAGACAACGGGAAAAAAAATTGTTAAAGTAAAAAATAAATAAATATTTTTTTGAATGAAGTGAAAAATAAATTGAGTGCATTTGAAGCACTTCGACGAGAGGTTTTGCGGCAAAGGTGTAATCAGAGGGGGAAGAGACATGGAATCTTCTTCTTCAGCTGCGATCGCAGTCTCATCGTTGACGGAGGAGGAACTCACACTGATAGTGAAATGGAGCGGCAAAGAGTACACGCTTCGGGTTTGCGGCGACGACTCAGTGGCCGAGTTGAAGCGCCGTATCTGCGAGTTCACTAACGTCTTACCCAAACGACAGAAGCTTCTCTATCCAAAGGTCAGCGCTAAGCTTGCTGATGACTCCCTTCTGCTCTCTCAAATCCCCATCAAGTCCTCCATCAAGATGACTATGATTGGGTCTGTCTCTTTCCCTCCTTTGTTTACATGCATTTGTTCCTTTTGGACATGTTTGGAATTGAGTTCTGGTTGCATTACAAGTGGTTGATAATTTTTGTATATGCTGTTCCCTCTTCAAAAGTCTGATTAAAAAGTTCATTACGAAATGAAAAACAAATGTTGGATGGAAATCTCTGTGGCTTCCGTTAATTCTCATTTGAAACTTGGCACATTGGAATTATTCCGAATTTTAATATTTTGAAGTGTAAAAATGACACCGAAAGAAAAGGAAAGAACTCATAATTGGGCGTTGTTTAACTATAATGATCAGTGAAAATATATGTATCATGTGGGAAATGTTCTTCTTTCACCATGTTTGCTATATGGATATTTACTCCGGGACTTGCTTTCCAGCACGGTTGAAGACGAGATAATTCTGGATCCAGTTGAGTCTCCTGAGATTATTGATGATTTTGAATTTGGGCAAGAAGAAGCTGTTGAAATTAAAGATAAAGAGGTCAATAAGCAAAAACTGAGACGACGCTTTGATCAGTACAAGGTAATTCTCATTTTGCATATGTAAGATACTGAATTGTTTTTTTCTTTTTCTTTTTTTTTTGAGTAGAGGTATTGAAGTAGTTTGTTCCATTGCATTCGAAAGTAAGAATTTTTCCTTTTTCTTCTATAAAACTTAGAGATTTTATTTTTTATAAAATTTTATGTTTGTGGTTCATTTACTTCTAAAATCACAATGGAGGCAATTCGGAGACTATTTGCTTGTGATGCATCCCTGATTTTTTGTTCTGTAATCAACTAATGGATGTGCATTTTTAATTGAATAAATCAGTTATGGTATCATCTTTAATTGCTAAATGAGTGAACTTCACTCATTTTGGTCAAGGCTATATAGTGAATTGTAGATGAATTTGTATGCATGAAAGTTCTTTTAGTGGAATTACTTTTTAAGTTAAAAATATATGATTTCACTCACAATCCAGCTTGAAAGGTGCGTGGTTTTTATCCATGTGTAAATGTTTTGATTTCCATAGATGGTACCACCATATATATTATGAAAGAGTGCTTATTTCTATTTGTCCAGAAAAAAAACAATTATGTGTCTATTTGAAGCTTTACGAGTCAAGTTTCGCCACTCTCTTCTTGAACCGAAAGAACTGTGAAAAACAAAAATGACACCAGGGGGAAGGTTGGAAATGAGGGTAAAAACCTGTTTAATAAAGAAATGGTAATGATAGATGTTGTCATATAAAAGTAACTATAGATGAAACATTGGTATCTATAGTTGGAAGGAGGGAGAGATGCTTCATACGCATGGAGATTCACTTTAGAAGCATCTGTAACCCTTGCTTGTCAAGCCCCAACCAAAATGTTGGATCTATTTTAAAATATTAGTATGTACACAATCTAAAATATTAATAATTAATGTACAAAATTTAAAATATTGATGTAATAATAGAATAAATTATAAATAAAATAAATTTAAAAATTAAAATTTTAACTATAATATTATTTAAACATATAGATTAGCATAAATTATCTTCAAGATCATAATTTTAATTAATTATTAATTTAGTAAAAAATTAACCAAGAAAACTTGCCATGAACCACGACCTTGTAGCTTCAATTTGCAACCAAATAGGTGTTATTCATGGCCATATGTCGTTTGGAATCTAGATGCTAGTGGATCTGGA